GTGATGGTCAGGCCCTCCTCCATCCCTCTCCAGGCCTCCTGAGCCAGCACTGGCATCGTGGCAAGATCCAGGATGATTCTTCTCGAATCAAGGTCTGAGGTGTACTGGTCTACATGATCACACAGCCAGAACCAGGTCCAGGCTCTACATGCATGCCTCCATACTGACAGAGCCTACTTCTCGATGCTCTGGTCCTCCATATTCAAGGACTCCAACCAGTAACTGTATGTCCTGACAAACCCTTTCCTCTGGTACACATGGTCCCGAACCCCTGGTTTCACAGGAGGTGGCCTCTGGAGACTCACAGCAGAGCTGGTCTTTCTTAGAGGTCCTGAGTTGATGGGGTCCCACAGCTAAGGGATCCCTCCTTTTCGCCTGTCCATGTTTCCTCTCCTGGCTCCCACTGGGTCATATCTGTAACAATTGTAGTTTAGTGACTTTTGCCTTTTGACCCCAAACTAAGGCCACTGGGTACCCAATGATGAAAGCTGAGGGCTGACAACCCCCTTCCTTGGGTTTCCTCCTGAGAGTTGGGGCCCTCAGGGATCATTAATTCTATTTTCATGGGTTAGCATTCTTTTTGTTTCTACCAAGCAGACTAAAATAGACTAGAACAACAACAACAACAAAAAATGAGAATGTACTGCATTATGTTTCGTCACTTTACTTAGTGCAGAAGTCTTCTGACATAAACATTATCCTGAGTCAAAGTGGAGCCTCGTCTCTAAAAGAAAGACTGGAGAGATGGCTCAGAGGTTAAGGGCACTGCCTGCTCTTCCAGAGGTCCTGAGTTCAATTCCCAGCAACCACATGGTGGCTCACAACCATCTGTAATGAGATCTGGTGTCCTCTTCTGGTGTGCAGGAATACATGCAGACAGAACATTGTATATATAATAAATAAATCTTGAGAGAGAGATACAGAGAGAGAAAGAGAGAGACAGAGAGAGAGAGAGAGAGAAAGAGAGAAAGAGAAAGAAGGAGAAAGAGAGAGAGCAAGCCCTCCCCTTGGAGCCCCAGCCCTGGCATGCCCCAGCTGCCGGGCATTCATGTGGTAACAAAAGGGCTTGAGGTCCCAGGACGGCACTCAGTGAAGCATAGTTTGACCCTCATGTGCTTTGCAGCTTTGAGCAAGTCAGAGCACCCCACAAAACCAGTTCTCTTACTGTTTGTTGGTTGTGGGACAGGGACAATCTTTTGTGGTCCTCCCATGGGCTAAGGGCCTGAGCTAACAAAAATTAGATTGCGACCTCTAGTGGCGGTGCCCACTCATTACTCCCCAGGTGCTGTCACTTTAGAGGCCCCAGCAGTGCCACTGTCTGGATAGACAGGTGTCCTTGGGCTGACGTCTTCCAGTGAATCTAAATGAGAAGAAGCTTGTGTGCATGTTTTGGGCTTAGTTTTTCTACTCGTGAGAACATTTTCTGAGTAAAAAGACATTTTCAACGTAGAGCTCTTTTTAGGATAATTTACCACTGTTATACCACGCTTAAAGCTGAAATCCAGGGTTTTCAACCTCTAAGCCACCTATAATAGAGAAAAATCCAACAAAGATTCCACTTGAAATTGCTAGTCCCCATTTCAATATTCAGCTAAGAGGTAGAGAGCGAAGATGACCCTTCAGGACCCTAGGCTAGAGGTAAGGGCTATCAGTCACTGTCCCACGGGCAAAGGGAACCTCACTTTTCTCAGCTCTTTCCAGCCTAAATTAGGACTCAACAGCTTGTGGCCTTATTCTCGTAATGATCCTTCAGGTAGACACCACTGTCACCTGTTCTGTAGCTAGGCTCCTTCTGATGCCACATGCCGCCCACTTTCAGACAAACCCCTCTCAAGGGGACCTAAAACAGACTTAGTGTAGACACTTTCCCTGCTGTGGTTTCAGCCTTTGTTCAGATGCCATAAATGAACAAGGGGCTCCAGCCCAATGCTTATTTTCTATGAAAGGTAAGAGATGAACTAAAGGCCCAGCAGGAATGATGAAACAAATGGCCAGCTAACCTCTCTGGACAACCGTGGAAACCATGCAGCTGTTTACAAGTTTGAGGCCCTTTTCTATGTTACAGTGGAATTGCCAATGAGCTCTAGAAGTCAATGCTGGGTAGAAAATGCAAGGTGGAGACAATACAGATTACAGGCTTGAGTTTCTAAAAAAAGACGGACTCTGTTTGCAGGTACCTGGAGCATCCCTGGGTGGATGCTGGCTTGATGCAAATGCCTGGAGCATCCCTGGGTGGATGCTGGCTTGATGCAAGGGCACAGAGCATCCCTGGGTGGATGCTGGCTTGATGCAGGACACAGAGCATCCCTGGGTAAATGCTGGCTTGATGCAGGGCACAGAGCATCCCTGGGTAAATGCTGGCTTGATGCAAGGGCACAGAGCATCCCTGGGTGGATGCTGGCTTGATGCAGGGCACAGAGCATCCCTGGACGGATGCCGGCCTGGTGTGGAGAGGGTATGGTATCTAACTTCTCTGTGCAGTTTCACACTGTCTGACTTTTTAGGATCTGCATACATTATTATTTAGGAACAATCCTCTTTAGTGCCATGGGTCATGACAACAAGTGGTCACAGCCAACACTAGGAGTTCCTGTGAGGTCTTGCACCAGGACTTTGTAACCTAAATTCAGTTCCTGGCTGTACAGATAGTGTAAGGGTCATTTGGACTATTAGGTGTCTCCACTCCTGGTCGTGAGCTTAGGAGAGGCCCTGACTATAAGGGTCATTTAGATTACTAGCTGCCTGCAGTCTTGGTTGTAGAAACCAATCACTGGGATGTTGTTTGAGCTAGGTGATTGGCCTATAGCTCTTAGAGGCCCTCATGTGTTGGGAGCACAGCATGAAGGTCCTTGAGCCCACAGATCTCCAGGAAAACCAGGAATGTTAAGCGTGCAGGATTGTCTATCCAATGAGAAAGATGTAAAGCTTGTTTTTCCACTCAGAACTCAGGGAACTGGAGGAGATTAACAGCCCAGTGACTGGCATTATCACCAGGCTGTAGGTCCGCCCGAGAAAGGAAGTGTGAATCCCTTTCATTTACTTTACGGGTGCCAAGCTATAAGCTTTTCATCTCAATTTCAACCTAAGCTGAGGGGCCTGGGATTCAGAGTAGAGGGATGGTATCTTGGGACCACGGCACCTCCTTACCCCTTCCGTCTGGGAATTGTGCAAAGCACTGCTTCTTAGACAGTGGACATGCTTCCTCTTTCACCTAAAGGATGCTTGTTAGGTTTTGCTTTTTGAGACAGTGGGCTGGAGAGATGGCTTGTTTGGGAAGCATAAAACCCCAAGTTTTCAAGTCTTCAACACCATGTAAAACCAGCCAGGTGTGGCTGCATGGAATCCCAGCACTGTGTGTGTGTGTGTGTGTGTGTGTGTGTGTGTGTGTGTGTGTGTGTGTGTGTGT